CTGGAGAGGCTGTGGGGAAAAAGGAAGTCTCTTACACTGTTGGTGGGAGTGTAGAGTGGTACAACCTTTGTGGATGTCAGTCTGCAGATTTCTCAAAAAGCTGGGATTAGAAGTCCCATTTGTTCCAGCTATTCCACTTCTAGGCATATTCCCAGAAGAACTGAAAGCATCATACCACAGTGATATATGTGCACCTATGTTTATAGCAGCACAATTTGTGATTGCCAGATCTTGGAAACAACCCAAGTGTCCATCAACTGAGGGTCTTCCCTCCACCTGCATCCTCACCTGCATTTATTATTTTTTTGATTTCTTGATAATAGCCTTTCTTTCTGGAGTAAGATGGAATCTTAATGTTATTTTAATTTACAGTTTTGTAAAGGCCAGAAGTGTTGAACAGTTTTCATGTACTTATTGATTTTTAAAACCTTTTCTTTGGTGAGTTTTCCATTTTGACAGGATCTTTCATTTTCTTGGGGTAGGGTCTAATTTTTTGTGTTCTTTTTAAAGATATTTAGTTCTCTGCCCATGGAATAGCTGACAACTTTTTCCATTCTTCAATTTGTCTCTACACACTGTTAGTTATTTCTTTCATGAAGGAGCTTTTAAATTTAATATGATATTATTTGTTGTTTCTTGGTATTACATATTTCTTGTGCAATTGGGGTTCTGTTCAAAAAGTCTTGGGCTACATGTATATCTTCAACAGCATTACCTATTTTACCTTCCAGAAGATAGTTCAATTTTAATGTTAAGATATTTTGTTCATTTTGATGTTAGTTTCATACATGGTAAAATATATGGATCTAGATGTATTCTTATGCATGTACATAGCAGATTTTCTTAGCACCATTTTCTTAGCACCACCATTTCTTAGCACCATTTGGTCAAAGGACTAACGTTCTTTCAACATATGTTTCTGATCCCTTTGTCAAAGTTCAGACAGCTGAATGTTTATGCATCCTCTATTCTGTTCTATTGATCATATGTTTGAGTCCTTCCCTATATCACACTGTTTTTACCCTTGTATTTTTGTAATATAACCTGAAGTCTGAGATTGTGATGCCTACTTCCTTGGCTCTTGTTCAAGACTGCTTTTACTCTTTCTGTGTCTCTTCTGGTTCCATATGAATTTTAGAACTGTTTTCTCCAGTTATGTGAGTAATTGCTATGTTTATTTTGAATGGAATTGCATTAAATCTATATCTTAGTTTTGGAGGTGTGATCCTTTTGACTATATTGATCTGCCTATCCAAAACAAGGGTTAGCTTTCCGTTTTCTTATATCTTCTTTGATTTCCTTTTTCAGATTCCTGTAATTTTTATTGTAGATGTCTTTTACATCCTTAGGTTAATTATGAAATATTTATTTTTTGATGCTATTATTAATGGTATTGACAGGGACACTGTTAATTTTTCTGTATTGACTTTGTATTCTCCTGTGTAGTGTTTCTCAAATTAATTTAGTTATTAATTCTAGGAATAATCTTATGGAGTTTTTGGGGATCTTCTATGAAGAGGATCATGTGATCTTCAAATAATGTTAACTTCTTCCCTTTCATAGACACATCCATTGTATTTCTTTCTGTTGCCTGATTGCTCTAAGTAATGTTTTCAGGACTATATTGAACAGGTATAGTGATAGCAGACAGTCTTATCTTGTTCCTGATTTTGAGCATAAAGCCTTCAACTTTTCTCCATTTAATATGATGTTGCCTATTGGTTTGCTGTATATAGCTTTTATCAGTTTGAGATAAAAACTTTTACATCTATTTTCTTCAGTTTTTTTTTCATAATGAGTGGATATTTGATTTTTTCCAAGGGCTTTTTCTTCATCTATTGAGGATGTTCATGTAATAAATTAAACTTATTGATTTGCATGTGGTGAACCATTCCTGCATCCCTGGAATGAATCTTACTTGGTCATGGGGTATCATCATTTTGATGATTTCTTCCATCTTGCTTTTCAGTATTTTGTTGAGGATTTTTGCATCTACTTTCATTAAGAGATTTGCCTGTAGTTCTCATTTTTGGTTGGGTCATTTGCTAGTTTAGGAATCAGAGTAATATGAGATTTTAGGAATGATTTTTAGAGTACTTGCTCTTTTTCAGTATCATTAAAGTGTTTGAAGACTAATGGCATTAGATCTTCCCTAAAATTCTCCCATAATTCAGCAGTGAATTCTTAAGCTTTTCTTGGTAGTTTGTTTTTAATTACTTCTTCAGTACTTAATTACTTCTTTCATTGTTTGTTATTGGAATATTTAGGATTTTTGTACATTTTTGGTTCCATCTTAGTAGTTCATATATAATAAAAAATGTATTCATGAATCTATCCATTTCTTCAGAATTCCCCTGTTTATTGGAAGGCAGTTTCTCAAAATAGTTATAAATAATTTTCTGTCTTTTGGCAGTGTCCATTGTGCTTTTTCTCATTTCTCATTGCATTTACTTGGAGGCTTTCTTTCCTTTTTTTGGTAAGCCAGGAGTTGGTCTATGGATTATTCTTGCTTATGTTGAACTCTGAAGCACATCATTATGATATTTATTGTGAATCCCTTTGTTTTTCTGAATATAGTCTTCACAGTTATAACTTTTCAACCTAGGATGGCTTTTATTGTATCCTATAGGCTCTGTTATGTCATACTGGGATTATCATTTGATTCTAGGAACTAATTTCTTTGATTTCTTCTTGACACACTGATTATTCAAAAGGGTGCTGTTTGATGTTCATATGTTTGCTTAATCTCTATGTTCTTGTTTGCTGTTGACTTCTAGTCTTTTGCACTGACTTGAGAATATACACAGGATAATTATAATTTTTTTGTGTTTACTGAAGCATGTTTTATAGGCTAGCATGTGGTCTATTTTGGATGAAGTCCCATGTGCTGTTGAGAAGAATGTGTGTTCTATTTTTTTTTGGTGGAATATTTGGTAGATACCTATTAAATTTATGTGTTTGAAGATTTGGTTTATATTTCTTGATTTTTCATTCAGTTATTTATTAGTGAAAGTGGATTATTGAGGTCCCCCACTATAATTGTGTTGATGTATGTTTGGTAGTATTTGATGCATATATGTTCATAATTATTATCTTTTCATGTTGAGTTATTACCTTAATTTATACATAGTGACTTTTTTCCCTCTTGTGATCAGTTTTGGATGGAAATCCACTTTATTTGAAATTAGAATAGCTACTCCTGCTTTTTTTTGTACTCCTACTACGTGAAATATTTTAAAATTTCCTAGAAAAATCAGCAGCCTTAGGCACTACAGCCCCTCTAATTAATGAATAATTGACTTGACATTGCTTAGAGCTTCAACTACTGAAAGAAAAATTGAGACACCAGATCCATTGACTATGGAAGTCAAATAGAAAGTAAGAGAGAAAGTTAAAAGTTTGGTGCCCTTTATAGAGAAGGACTCGGGAACATGAAGCTATATAAATGCCAAAACTTTTGCATGAATAATAAGGAGAAGTAATCTCTGGAAGGAGCTTCTTCATTGCAACTGCTCTTCACAAGCTATTTCTGAAAATAAGTCAATTATAAAATACAATACTTGGCGAGAATCCTTAACTCTGAATCTGTGTATGCAAGTGTTTTAAGAAAATTAAACAAGACCTTTGTTACCAGTCCTGATTTTCATTACATGCCAGTAGAAATCCAAGCCAATATTTTGATTCTTGTGTTGTAGGTTTCTTTAAAAATTTTTTTAATTTTAAAGATAGTAAAATACAACAAAGCAACACAGAACAAATCTAATGAAGACAACGAAGCAAAATTGGTATAGAACTTTAGAGCAGGATCCTGGGAAAACAATAATAGCTTCCATAGTATATCTTATCTTTTTATCTTCACAATAGTTGTCCATTTCATTGGCCATAGAAAAATCAAACCAAAAAGAAAACAGAATAAAACCAATCAAAACAGAATATTCAGTAAAGCAGAATGAATAAGAACAAAACAAAACAACAAAAACAGAATTGGATTTCAAAGACAAGATAGAAGGAAATCCCCTATATTTGCTATACTGCATACTGTCATCCTCTGGAGGGATGCTCATACTGCTGGCCCCAAGCCTGCATTCTCAATTTAACAATTCAAGTATTTAGATTCTTTAGTATCTTAGTTGCTATCAACTCAGGGCTGTCCTCAAAACCATCTGCTTGCTAATGGGGCGGAACAGGGTGTTGATTCTCAACTGGTGTACCAGTAGGCTTGTGCTACTTACCAGGAAGGCTGGATTATTGATTTCTTGGTTGGTCCCCCAAGACTTGGCATGGAGGATTCTCCAGCAATGGTAACTTTTCCCTTGGTACCCATGCAGCTTGTGCTGCTTACCAGGAAGGCTGGATCGTTGATTTCTTGTTGGGTCCTCCAAGGCCTGGCATGGCAGATTCTTGGGAGATGCTGGCTTTTTTCCCATTGTAGGTTTCTTTCGCTTCATCAAAGAAAAATACTTGTTAGGGATTTTGTGAATGAGTGTGTGGCTTTTGGTTCATAGTTTATATTTTTTCCATTTTTCTTTTTATATTAATTGTACAGATAATTTAAGATACCAGGTTTGATAGATATGTCTATAAAAGAAAAATATTAGCAGACTCAACTGATAATGTTGGCTCTGGTCATTAGATATCAAATTATTTATTCTAAAGATACATGATATCTTTGTGAAAGTCACTGTTGTGACTTTTCTTTCCCTCTGGAGTAAAAGCCCTACATTTTTTTTTTTTTAGAAGTATTCACTCTCTCTTCAACCCAAGTAAATCGACTTCATCTTTCCTTGCAGCTTCAGCTACACTAGGGTCTGCTTTCTTAAAGATTTTACAGTTTCTACTTTTGACAAAGATTTAACTCAACAAAATTGGATAAACACATAGTTTCCTGTTCAGCTGTATTTATAATATTTTAATGCCAGCAAGTGAAGACATGTGCATATCAATGTAGTATGCAAATAGGCTCAAAGAAATATTTTTCTCTTTCACTGTGACATTTGTAGTGGCTATAAAGTACACCGACCATACGGTTCCTGCAGAAGTAGATGAAAAGCCACTCAGTGAGACTGTGCGAACCTACTTTCCTGAAACATGGATCTGGGACTTGGTAGAGGTGAAGTAAGTAACTTTCATTTGAATAATCTGCTTTGGATATGAAAACGTTATTTTATTACTTTCATCTATTTTTAAAATTTTTTATTTTAAAAAGCAATACAAATATAGGATAGAAATGATACAGAATTTCAAAGAGAAAAAAAGTAGGGAATTAACATTAGTTAATGTATTGTATATTGTTATCTCAGAACTAGCTGTACACCCATGTTTGTAGTAGCATGATTTGTAATAGCTAAATCTTGGAAACAACCAAAATGCCCATCAACCACAGAGTGGATAAAAAAGATGTGGTTTTTTTTTATACAATGGAATATTTCTGAGTTATAAAAAAGGATAATCTTGAGTCTTTTATAGATAAATGGAGGCAACTTGAGACCATACTCATAAGTGAAAAAAATCAAACTCACATGTATAAATATCATATTGTCTCCCCAGTATAAAAAATAAACATCATAAAAAGTAATAAAATCCAAAATATACATTAGGTATTGTAATAATGAAAGGGAAATAAAGTTCAAAAGAACAGAACTACTGGGATAGGGGAAAGGGAAAAAGGAAAAGACTATATGTATGTTGATAAACTTTCATCTATTTTTCTAATTAATTTATCTCAATGAAAGGAAAGAAAGGATAATTTACAAAGCTGTGGCCTAATTATGTCAAAGCACCAGTAATAAATATTTGTATTCTTGTCTATCCTGTAAAGCAAATGTAATAATTATGCTATAATTACAATTAAGCACTGACAAGCCTGCATAAAGTAAACTATTTGGAGAATTATAATTTATTTATTTTGATACTGGGGATGGAATTCATGACCTTGTGCTTGCCAGGCAGGCAGTTGTGCCGCTGTGGAGAATTATAATTTATAAGGTAGTTAGATAGTACTTACACGAGATGAGTTCAATGGCAATTTCAAATTTGTCTTCAGATTCTTTTGCTTTCTTTTTATTTTAAAGGGGAAAACAGCAAAAACAATGATACAGACTTTCAAAACATGCTAATAAGGGATTAATAATGGTGAACAGCCCAGAGTTTGAGGTGGTGTGAGAGGGTGATTACAGTTGGAAAAGCAGAGCTATCAAAAGGCCTTTAGTTTTCTACCTTGACCCCTGAATACACCGATCATTTTCTATAACTTTGGAGAGGGCTCAAAAGTGTACCATTAGGTCATGCTTATCAGTTAACATTTCAGCAATAACCAGTTCATCAGCTTCTTTCTGTCCCTAACATCACCACCTTCCTAGCTCATCAGGTGTGGCTGAAGTAGCAGTGACAGTCCCGGACACCATCACAGAGTGGAAGGCAGGGGCCCTCTGCCTGCCCAGTGATACGGGGCTTGGTCTTTCCCCCACCGCCTCCCTCCGAGCCTTCCAGCCCTTCTTTGTGGAGCTCACGATGCCTTACTCTGTGGTTCGCGGTGAGGTCTTCACATTCAAGGCTACTGTACTGAACTACCTCTCCAAATGCATCCAGGTAAGAGGACCATGGAACGTGCAGCATAACCAGAAGGGAAGAAGGGCAATTATTATGTGTGAATCAAAACAACTCAAACTTTAAAAATGAAGAGGAAATGAAAAATTGCATTTATCTCATTAATACCTCTTCCAGATCATTAAATAATTTCTGATGTGCTACTTGCAGTGGAGACACATCCTGCGAAATGTGTCATCAGGGGATTTTTGTCATCATTGCAACAACATACATTAACCTAGATGGCACAGATTAGCCACTTTGTGTGGCTTTCTGATGCAGTCAGGATACACAGTAAGCACAAAACGTACCAATCTACCACTGGAGAAACACTGTTTCCCGTTTTACAGTATTTTTTATTAATAGAAAGAGGAGTACAGTTTAACAAAAAGAGAAAACTGTAGTAGGTTCATAAACCAGTAATCTGTATAGTCAGCCGTTTATTGTTCTTAGCATGTACTGTGTACTTACACAATTGTGCTATGTTAAATACTATATAAAAACCTATAGTGAAGAAGGTTTATTTTCACGAGCATCAACACAAACGTATGTATAATATATTCTTACAATTTTCAGTCCCATTATCGCTTTTGAAACCACCACTGAGTGTGTAATGTTAACTTAGGCATGGGACTGTTTTACCACTCCAGTAATAAGCAAAAGCTAAGTTAGAAGGGACATAATGTTCGATCCTTGGTATGGATTAAAAAAAAAAAAAGGAAAAAGACAAAAAAAAAAGAAGGGTCATAATGAAGCGTTTTTTCTCTCAAGATATGTAAAACACTAGTTATGAAATCACAGTGTAGAGATTCTAAATTTCAACATGTTAAAAATTTACAAAAATATCTTATCAAGTAGGTTGCATACCTAAAAATCACTTCTGTTCAGCTCCATTGGGTTTTTTAAAAAATCATTTACCTGTATATAACGTAATTCTTTCTGCGCATCTTATGTGTCCAGCAACAAAAAACTTGAGAATGGGAACCACTTATACCTAGAAATTCCTTGTGCATGTAAAGCTTGCAATGCATTTTCAGTCCAATGGATGGGTGAGAACATAGGTTAAAAAAAGAAGAAAGTAACTCTGACCACACTGTAATCATACAGAAACCTGAGAGAATTCGTATCAATCTAAATCCTTAGGTAAATTTCATAAGGATAACCTGTTTTTGTTGCCTTTCTTTGTCCTCCGTTACTAATACCAAAGTAAAATAAATAAATACAAAGAGATACATATTTATCTCAATATATGTTGGCATATATCTATTTATACAATATGTATCCAATAAGAAATTTGTATAGTTTTTTAATCAAAATAGTCAGTTTATGTATTATTTTCATCTCTATTTTCTAAAAATACTCCTGCCAGTCCGTTTTTATAGTTCTTTTTAACAGCCTTTTAGGCTGTTTCACCCCATTTACCCATAGGTTGTCCTTCTAAAGTCATGTCTTTTGTTTTTGTTTTTTTTTTTTCTTTTTTTCTTTTTTTTTAAATTTTATTTAAGGAGAAAAGAAAAAAAACAGAGAAAGGGTACAAGTTATACAGATTTGCAGAAAAAAAAATGAACAGTAGGAAATCACTAGTTAACGGATTACATATTGTCATCTTAGAAATAATTGTTCAAGTCACAAAATTAAAGCTTGTAAAGTGGACATTCCATCAATGATACTGCAAACAGTTCTGTTCAATGATCCAATAAAACTCTGTGATATCATTTTCTATCTTATACACTTAAATATACATGCCGTTATGTAGTTTAGAGCACTTTCTTTTCCTCTCTTTTGTACAATGACTATTACACATTTTGGGTTTCATTGCTCCCACGGTTCTTATTGCTTTTTTGGAAGAGAGTAAAACCAAATGTGACATAACAGAACAGAATCGGTCAAGTCAAAAGGGTGGACATAATAGATAATGTAAAAACATAATACAAGGTGATCAACAATGGTTACCATAATGCCTCCCGCTATCTCTAATAGAATTGCCTATATTGTTAGTTACAATACAATTGAACAAAACAGTAAAGAATAAAACCGACAAAACCAAAACATTGGAGACATTGTAGGTCTTCAAAAATAGATAAAAGTCAACGAGAATGGGCGTTATAATGAATCTCATTATCTTCACAGCTGATGCCTAAATTTTCAAACCTGATACTATCCAGCAAAACAGAATAGGGGAACATCAGTTAAAAACCAGATGGTGACAGTAATACAGGGCTTTAAATCGAGGTAATGGAAAGTCAAAGTGGGTTACTATAATATATCCTGCTATTTTTTTCCTTTAATTAAAAGGATAAAAATAAAAAAGTAAATAATGGAGTGGAGATTGAGATAAAAGAGGGCATAACAACGAAACAGCACAGATCAAAACATAACCATTTAAGCAGAATAGTGTTTCACCACCAGATAATCCTGACCTAAAAGTAGTTCCCATATTATCTTTTTCCTTGAAATCCTTGAGTACAACTTCGTATACTGTAGCATTAAGTATATCAAAACAATGTAAAACCATTTAAGAGAATGACAGCATTACAGAGTATTTAGAATTGACTAACAGAAAATGAACAATGGTTTCTGTATAATCTCCTTGTCTTTAAAAGGTTTTTGCTTATACTATCGTACATAATAAAATCCAGTAAGATACAACCTATTTGGACCATTGGAGACAGAAGGACAAAAGCTAGATGAGACTTCCAAACAAGATGATACTAAATCAGTATTAACTATTAAGATGTCATTTTCTCCAAAATAGCTGTTCCTATCATCCAATCTTCTCTGCCTCATTTCTGTTGAGCTCTTATTCTGTCAGTAGCTGTCAGTTTGTCTTCTTCACTTTGTTCTCTGCTCCATTCGTTGTGGCCTCCATTATTTCTGGACTCTTTGTATTTTTCTTTTTTTAGAATATCCTGCAATACTCTCTGTAGAGTTGAATTGGTGGTTGCAAATTCCCCCAGTTCCTCTTTATCCTGGAAGCACCTTGTTTTTCCATCAATTTCCAGGGACAGTTGTGCAGGATATCTCAATCTTGGCTGGAGATTATTATCTTTCAAAGCTTGAATTATTTCCCCCCACGCTCTTCGTGATTTGATGGTTTGTGCAGAGAAATCTGCTGTAATTCTGATGGGTGCTCCCTTGTAAGTGGTCTGTTTCTTGTCTCTAACAGCTTTTAATATTCTGTTCTTGTATTGAATTTCTGGAATTTTTATTATTATATGCCTGGGTGTTGCTCTGTTTGGGTTATAGGTAGCTGGGGTCCTGTATGCCTCATACATCTGAGTATCTTTACCTTTTGCTAAATTAGGAAAATTCTCCTGGATTATTTCTGCGAGTAGCTTTTGTAGTTCATTTGTTTGTGTCCCTACTTCTTCTTTTATGTTCTTAATCCTTAAGTTATGGATCCTCTTATCATCTTCTTGTCTTTGTATTATTGCTGTTTGTTTCTTTGTTATTTTTAAGAAGTTTTTCATTTCATTCTCCCATATTACAATTCTGCCCTCCAGTTCAGAGAGTCTGTCCTTAGTTTCTTTCAAGCTGTTATGCCAGTCTTCGATAGACTTCTTAGTTTCTTGGTAGTCACTTTGAACCTGCTTCACGTATTCTATGCTTTCCCTGTTTTCTCCATCAAACAATTCTCCCCTCTTTTTCTGTTCTTCCATTCCACCATCTGTTTTTTCTTGGGTGGTGCTTAGCATTTCTCTAACTATTTTGCATACTTCTAGCTTCAGGTCGTTGATAACTTCATTCCTGAATTGGTCTATGAGGCTCTCTATATGGTGCCTTATGTGTAATGGTGCGGTGTCTGCTATTGCCTGTTTCTCAGAATTGGGGGCTGAGGAACCTTTCTTGTTGCTGCCTCTTCCCATATTCTCTGTTCCTTATATATGCAAGCTTATATGAGAGGCCCAGCTTCTCTCCCTGTCAGCCACAGCCTGATCGAATTGCGCCGGTTAGGTGTTCCCACTCACTGCTGCACACCAGGCAGCCTATGTGGGGCCCGCCCCTCCCGGCCTCTGTCGGGTTCTGGGATCTGGGTTGGGCTAGCCTACTGGGTCCGCCGGCAGCGTCACGCAGGCCAGGCACTTTTCACCAATCCCGCCTGAGAGGGGAATGTGTGGCTGGAGTCGCCACTGCGCCCTGCTCCCGCAGGACTGCCCAGGCCCAGAAAGTCCGCTGGAGTCAAACTGTGGTGGAGTGTCAGTTTCTCTCACTCACCTCGCCACAAGTCAGAACATGCCTCCCTGCCCGTCCTGTTTTCGACTCCGTTCGCAGACTCCCATTCTCAGAGTTTCCGTGCGTCTCTCTCCTTGCCGAGCCGATGTAGAGGCAGCCAGCCACCGCGCGGCGGGAAACCCAAATGGCGTGGGGTCCAGCCTCAGCAGCGAGGCTTTTCTGTTCCTGTTTTAGCACCAGGACTGCATTCCAAGTTGGTTTCTCTCAGCCGAGTTCGTTCCTGAGTCAGCAGAGCATAACTCCACCTGCTTATGTCTCTTTAGTCCGCACCATACCTGGCTTCTGAGCCTAGTTTTCAGAGAGCCTCCAGTAGTTGCTGTTATCTGTCCGCCATGTTCTCCCGGAAGTCGCAGTCATGTCTTTTGTATCTTTCTGCCCCATGTGGGATGACAGGTGAGCGTGCAACTGGAAGCCTCTCCTGCCTTCACAGCTGTCCCCCTAGCAAAAGACCAAGATTCTTACTGCCTGTGTGAGGATGGGAGGCAAACTGTGTCCTGGCTGGTGACTCCCAAAGCACTCGGTGAGTAAAAATGCTTTGAATGAACTCTCTTGGTTCCTTTAATTAACTTTTCCACTTTGGGTCCCAAGAAGAAAATGCCAGGCCATGGTGCAGCTGACCCTGTACTTGCCAGCTTCTTAAATAAGCAATTGAATGGCTCACAGAACTGAGGATACTTTGTAGGTCCTGGGGAATTAGAGATCACCTAGTCCCTGCATATCCACACTCAGATCCACAGGCCATTTGTTTCAGGGAATGTGAATTTCTCTGTGAGTGCGGAAACACAACAGCCTTCTGAGCTCTGTGGTACTGAGGTAGCTGCGGTTCCTGAAGCCAGGAAGAAAGACACAGTCGTCAAACCCCTGTTAGTTGAGGTAAGTCCTGCTTTTTTGACAGTGAAACTGAGTCCAGGAAATGGAGCACTAGATTTCCTATAAAAATTTAAAGAGCAAAGTAAAACATAGCTAATAAGAAACAGGGAAATCTTTTACAAATGGGAAGGGTACCAAAAGATGGGAGGGAGGAGAGAGGGAGAGGAGAAGACAAGATAAAAAGAATCATGATGTGTTATGCTGACTCCCTAGGAAGAATGTAATGAATGCTCTGCAAACAGGTAGTAGTAAAAAATAAAACAAAAAATGCACCCACTTAGCTGACAATGCAGTATCCATACCATTCAGTCCCAATTGTATGTTTCTCAAAAACTGCTCCTTTAACTCAATGACTGTGTCACTTTCCATCTGCATGTCTTTTGGATATGTTACAAATAACATGATAACAATAAATTCATTTCATATATCTTTGAAAATAATTATAAGAATAGTGCAAGAGATCAGTATATTTCAAACCATATGATAAAATCATGCCTTAATATTAGAAGAGTGAAGACTTTTACTTTTTCCTGCTTGATTTTCAGCTGTTTTCTCTTTAGTTAAAAGTTGGACTGGGATATTCTATAACATTTTTGTTTTTGGTACTGGGCATTGAACTATATTTTAGCCCTCTTTTGGTTTTAACTTTTAATTTTTAGACTTGATCTTACAAATTAAGAAAATTGTCTGAGTTGAATGCATCTTGTAATTTTCTTGTCTCTGCCTCCAGGAGTGCCAGGATTGTTGGCACGTACCACTTTGGCTGGCTATGTACCAATATCTTTTCTTTGAACTACATCTTTGTTTCCATCATATTTTTTAAAACTTTTTCTCTTAGTTATCCTTCTAATTCACTTCTTTTTTTTTAACCTGGTATACCCCAATTTGTCAAACTTTATTCTTATACTAAATGTAACAAATTAGAAATCATCTAACTCAAGTCATAAATAAAGGGGGTAACTTTAATTGTAACTCGTTACTAATAAATACTCGGAATCTTCTCATCTCTGAATTTTCCTTTTTCCCATCCAAGCCTGAAGGAATCAAGAAAGAATATATGATTAACTCATTTCTCTGTGCATCAGGTAAGAGTTATTCAAAACAACAATAAGAAGAAAATAGCATTTTAAGTTACCATAACTTTTTGCCACATAAGTCACCTAAATGATATTTTGCAGTCACTATGTACCTTATGTCCATTAAACAAAGAATGTGCATCCTATAGAGTAGCAAGCTTATTAGCTATACTAATATATTAGCTATACTGTTTATAGGTATACTGATATAGCTATAAACAGAACACCATATGGGACATCTTAGCTCTTCATGAGAGATCTTGTTTTTAGAATATAGGAATGTTTCCCTCTAGTACATATGAAGGCCAAGAAGGGAGGAGTAGCTTAAGAAAAGCTAGGAAGATGTCAGAATTAAAATGTACCTAAAATAATGTGAACAACCTATAGAGTATTTGGTAAAGGAGTATATATTTCTGTTCTTATACTTTATGTAAGTATTACATTTTTCTGGCCAGGAAAATTTTATATAAATACTATAAAAATACACATGAAAAAATATTTACCATAGTATTTTTCTCCCATTGTTGTGATATTGATTGTTCTTTTACCACTGTATATATACTCCAAAATGATCATTTGAAAAGAGGTTAGAGGCATTTATTGTATAGGTAAATATGATCTTCTACTAAATGAGAACTTAAGAAAAGTACAAAGTCGATATGGTGGCCGGCACCTGCAGTCTTCAAATTTTAGAAGGCTGAGGCAGGAAGATTAAAAGCTCAAGGCCCTTCTGAGCAACTTAGAAACTTAGCAAGATCATGTCTCATAAAAAGGAGTAGGCGTGCGCTTAGTATGAAGGCCTTGCGTTCAATCAATGCCTGGTACCATTACCAAACAAAACAAAAAACAAACGCACAGCAACAGAAACAAAACGAAACAAAATAAAACAAAACAAAAAAGTGATATAGATAGTGTCTGCTTTTTGTTCATAACTGTATTCCCAGAATCTATACTAATACCTGCCACAAGATGCTTTTCCAATGTATAGCTGTTTAAAGAGTTAATAATTTAAAATGAAGTTTTAAGAGTAAAGTCATGATCCGAAATCCATTATTACAAGAAAATTCACAAAGCATAGATAAGGGAAATGATTTCTCCAAAGTTATAGGAGATGAAAAAAATTCTTACAGTTATTGAAAGTCTTAAATTATTTAAGGTTATGAAAAGATAGAAAGTTTGAAATGGGTCACTAGAAAGGAATGATAATTATTTTTGAAATACCCACAAGTAGGGTAACAAAATACATATCATTGGTCAATTCTTGTCTTCCTAGTACTTCATTGTTATAACGTAATCTCCTAACCACCCCTCCTACACAACATTCATAACAAGGACTCCCATGAATGGGGTATTCTTGAGTAGTCAGCGAAATATACCATGCTCAGGGCAAGAGTGTGGAGACCCTTGCAAGGCAATTGCATAGCTTGTTCTTTTACTTCTGCCAGGTTGAGTGTCTAATCATACATGATCTAACTTTGAGACAAAAAGACATTATTTTCATATGTCAATAAAGCATTTTAAAAGACCCCAGTAGAAGCAGGTTATCACAGATCTCAGAAACTTAGAGCCTTCTTTTGAACAGTTGTTCAGTGCAATGGGTAATAAAAGAGGAAGAGAGAGCCTGGAAAGTCACTAGGAAATGTGAATTTTGAATATTAAAATCAAAAGTATTTTCCAAGGAGACAGCTAATCAAAGTTTAAGGTGTATATATGCAACCACCAACCTTAGAATTTTAAAAAATATGGGCATCAAATATAAAATCTATGTATTTGATTTATCAAGATGCTGTGATATCTGAAAAATTATCGCTGAAGCTTCCACCAAAATTAGTGACTGATTCGGCTAGAGCTTTCTTCTCTGTGTTTGGTGAGTTATTCAGCCCTTAGAGGACTTGGGACAACATCTACTCCTATGTGTCACATAATCACATTTTTTGTGTTGTTTTCAAACAGTTTTTAACCATGTTTCAACTCTAACTTCTTTCTCACACTTTTGTTTCCTCACTATCCACTTGTTTTCTGACCTTCCAGTTATGTTAAAGTTCTTCCTCTTCAGCTATTTTTTCAGATATAAATATCATAAATATGAACATTATTGGTTCGTGATGATAGTGGTTGTTCTCATATCTCATTTCCAGGTGATATATTAAGTTCTTCCATAAAAAACACACAAAACCTCCTCCAGATGCCTTATGGCTGTGGAGAACAGAACATGGTTCTTTTTGCTCCTAACATCTATGTACTGAAATATCTGAATGAAACTGATCAGCTGACTCAGGAGATCAAATCCAAAGCTATTGGCTATCTCAGTGCTGGTGAGTCAAAGGAAGAACTTCTCTTTTTCTTATAAACTTTCTCCCCTCAAGGAGGCTTAACATTCAGTAGGATAGGAGAGCTGTCCTTTTGTTTGTCTTGCATGCTAGAGAAGCCAGAGCATGATTATGGTCTCTCCCCCATTGTCTGTAAGTGTGGGGATCCTGTTTATCTCTGACACATCACTGATTCCTCATGAATCATCTGAGACGTTTCCATTGCAGGTTATCAGAGACAGCTGAACTACAAACACCCAGATGGCTCCTACAGTGCCTTTGGGCATCAGAATGGCAGGAATCAAGGCAACACTTGGTAAGAAAAGGGTACCATGTGTCAGGCCTTGTACAATACTTGCATTTTGTGGCATCCCCAGATATTTTATGAGCCTCCTTTCATAGAAGTGGAAACTTTTACCTAGTACCGTTCAGTAAATATCACTTAAATATCTCAAATAACAAGTGACAGGATTGTGACTCCCTCAAGATTATCATCTCTGTCTTCCAAACACATTTTGATTCAATTCAGTCACCAATGCTTTCTCATTTCTCCCAAAGACCTATCCTAAATAAAATCTCTGGTCTACTGAAGTTATTTTCCAGCACCCAAATGTGCTGGAATATGAGACTTAAAGCTTTAAAAATAACACTGTTTTTCTAAGAAAAGATGCACAGGGAAATAGCACATAATAAATGAAAAGGAAACTAGTGGAAAGAACAAGATATATGCTAATAGGATGTGGGCAAACTTAATTTTTGAGACAGAAAAATTGACAGGATGCTAGTGCATATAATGGGAGATTCTAGTTTTTAAAAAAAACTACAGAAGAAAGTCAAGGAAAGCAAAAACCTCCGCAAAAAAAATGGACGTGTCTTCATCAATCACCTGAGTAAGCAAAGGTAGAGCTGAATATCTGAAACAACAAGGTAGAAAATCAGGTAAGGGTTGAAACCACTTGGTAGTGTATTAGTGATAGGTTGCGTCCAAAGAGAAACAACCGGTCCTGGAGATTCCCCAGCTATGAGCATAAAAAAACTCTGGTACTGACCCATGAGTGCTGCAGGGTCCCCATGAAGCCCATGTATGTGAAGGTGCTGAGTGAAAGCCAGTGGTTCACATCTCAATCTTCTTCCCATCAGGCTCACAGCCTTTGTGCTCAAGACCCTTGCCCAAGCTCGAGCCTTTATCTTCATTGATGAAACACACATTAGCCATGCTTTCACCTGGCTCTCCCAGAAGCAGAAGGACAATGGCTGTTTCAGGAGCTCTGGGACACTGTTCCACAATGACCTGAAGGTGATCTCTGTTGTGAGCTAGTTAGGATTACATGGCTCATTCATCTATGACATTTTTTCTAAAAATAAAGTCATAAGAAGAAGGGTGTGGAAAGCATGGAAGGATAACAGTGGGAAAACAAACCCACATACCAGAGGGGAGAAAGACATGGAATCTGGGTTGAGAATGGACTTCATGCAGAGATGAGAAGAACTTCCAAGGAACCATAGAAGAGGAAGGATTGGCCATGAGCAAAATGCACATCTTTAAAGGGCTTCCTAAAGTGGAACTCATCTCTTTTTCGTCTCTTGTATTTATAGGGTGGAGTAGACGATGAGGTGACCCTCTCAGCCTATATCACTATTGCCCTTCTGGAGATGCCTCTCCCTGCCACTGTAAGCACCACGTTGTCACTCCAGCTCATCAGACTGTTTTGAAGTCTACTGACCTGTGGCTGTACCACTTCTCAAAATGCTAAATGGCCACTTTCCTTCTGCACAATTCTTCCCATTATAGTGAATTTCTGACGTGAATATTCTTGTTCAGAAATACTGGATCATGCTGTAAAATTAATCCAAAACACAGGGTCTCTGATCCAGTCCTTATTAGTTTATATTTTAATTGTAAAATAATCTTTTAAAAAGTGTGTTTTAGAAAAAGATGGTGAGAGAATGAGTGGATGGGTGAATAGATAGATACTGAGTACTGGTATTTCTATCCTACAGTCTCTGTGTTTATTTTAGGACCTCTAGGAGCCCTTTACCCCAAGTTCACAGTACTGTTTCTCTTCCTCGTAGCACCCTGTGGTCAGCAAAGCACTGACCTGCCTGAATGAATCCTTGGAAATGGCAAAGGAGGGGTCCAATGGCAGCTATGTCTACACCAAGGCACTCCTGGCATATGCGTTTGCCCTGGCTGGGAACCAGGATAAGAGGAAAGAAATACTGAAATCACTTGATGAGGAAGCTGTGAAAGAAGGTCGGGATATTTGCCAAGATTTTTCTCTCCACACATTTCCAATGGGAGGTCAAGGAAAAGTGAATTCCTGAAAATAACTTTCCTTTTTGATTTGCTCCATTATGAAATAGTAAGATTTCTAAGACAGCTCCTCCCCTCCCAAGATGAGTGTTCCTTTTATACTCACGCTTTTTCCCAGAAATATTTTGTTATGTAATATATCAGCCTTCCTGTCATTGGTGCAATATACATGAAACCTGCAACTTAGAGGAGAAAAGATTTAATCCAGTCCAAGATTTGGGGTGCCAAGTCTCTCTTCAGCAGGCTCCCAGAAAGAAATATCATGGTAGAAGGGCAAGGTGGAGCAAAGGTCCTCAGCTTATGGCCGCAGAGCAGAAGAGCAGAGAAATCAGAGAGGAAGGGCTCAAGGATCACATGCAGTAACCAGTGTTACACTTCCATGACCTGCCAAGGTTCAGCCAGAAGGATGCCTTTCTAATTCCTTAGGTGACGCATAAGCCAATCAAATGGCCAATCAACATTAATTGTCATACACAGAGAACAAATTTTCTAAAAGCAGTATTACATGAAAGGTCAGTTATTTCAATCTCACATAGGCAATGTAAGTTGACATACTTTTCCTTATGACTCATGTAGATATGTCAAGATGAATGAAAGCTACTAAGAAGCATAGGAAAGGAGGTATAACCCATTACAATAGCTTCTAGTTTTATTACAACATCAGTTGGTAGGTTTCATCTTTCATTTCAACTAAATACTGAACAAATAAATTCAGATTGGAAGTAAGGGAGTGAACCAGTGATAAACCATGCCATATTTTCCTCATTAATTCTATTAGAACATTTGATAAAATAACTCAGTTGTTACCTTATGAACATTGTCCTCATAATTTTCCTCAAACACAGAAAATAATCTCAATGTTTTACCCTATATGAATAAATTTGAAAAGCAACTTCAACATGATATATGGATTTATTTCTATATGGAAACATATTTTAAACCTTAACAATTTTATTCTTTTTCCTTATCCTGAAGACAACTCAATTCATTGGGAGCGGCCTCAGAAACCCAGGAGACCAGAGGCACTTTTGTACCAACCCCAGGCGCCCTCTGCTGAGGTGGAGATGACGTCCTATGTACTCCTTGCCCACCTCACAGCCCAGGGGACCCCGACCCCAGAGGAGATGACTTCTGCAATGCGCATCGTGAACTGGATCACAAAGCAGCAAAATTCCTATGGCGGCTTCTCCTCCACTCAGGTGTGTGGCTTTCATCAGTCTCCATCCTTAAGAGTCCGTGTGTGCCAAGAAAGTCAGAACAAAAGATTAATGAACAGTAACAAGGGAAAGGAAAAGACAGAAGAGTCTAGGAAAGATCACTTAGCAGTATTTTGATTCTACAAAAAATGAAAAAAGAACTCTTTCCTCCAATTTTCCTAATGTCTGTGCTGGAATTCTAGAGTTCTCTTTATACTTTAGTTACAATACCAGGCTTGCACCAATGAGACATTTTAGTAAGAAAGCAAATCTTGATTTATGAAAGTAGTAAAGGTACTGGGATGTCTAGAATCCTAGAACTAATTTCTTAAGTTGAACTAGCACAGTGTGTTATCTAAAGTAAGGTATGTGAACCAAACTTGCCATTTTAGCATTCCTGCTACCCTAGGTAAATCTTCTTTCACTCCTCTCCTAAAAGACTCTCCGATCTTACTTTTAAGTAGGTTATCCTTGACTTTTCTCAGAAGTAACAGAAATTCACGCTTCTTCTCACCACCTCCTCATATTTGTATTAATCAAGGCTATAAACCTTTCACTGATCTCCTAGCTACTAATAGCTCTATCAATAAATGTTTTTAAAAAACACACTCCTAACAATGTAGCACTACAATTTATTTTTGGTATCATGGGATACATATCAGAACTTTAGAGAAGTTTGGTGCAATGGTAGATTTTTTCAGAGGAGGCAAAAAATTTCTGGGAGAGGAAATTTCTATTATTTATAGCATTTTGTAATTCAGTTTGCTTTGTAATTTAGTTATCTCAATCTTTCCTTGAAGTGACTATTTGTAATGATGAAGATGCTCTCTGCATGTTTTTCTTTTTTCTGTTGTCTGTTGTCTAAAGGACATCATAAACATCCATTTCTAATGAAAAATAGGGAACCTAATAGGAGAGATCCTTTGGGAGGCATGAAGCACATTCTTTTTTTTTTTTTTTTTTTTATCTTTTTCCTTTTTATCGGTACCGGGGATCGAACTCACGACTGCCTGCTTGCAAGGCAGGCGCTTATGCCACTGAGCTAAATCCCCAGCCCTTGAAGCACATTCTTTAGGGTGGAGGGAGTAAAAAAAAAATCATTGTAGAGGCTGAAAAATCATGGACAGCAATAGAAATAGTTTTTCACTTAATTTGATTAGAGAGCTTTATGACCAGTACTTGGCGAATATCTTGGCATCTCTTAAATTCACAAAGAAAGCCAGAGAATGTTTGGCAATGAGAAAAAACAAGATCATAACTTTGTGGGAAGATGGTGAGTCTTACTGCAGATGTCAGAGGCAGCAAAGGGAAAAGTAGAAAAATATAGGAAATGACCTTGCTTTATTTGTACATTTTTTACTGGTTATGGAAGAATTTGTTTATTCTAGGAATAAGAGTATAGTGCAATAATGTGAACATTTTGATTATCAGATATATCATAAGTTAACATCAGTCTTTGGATTAAAATCCAGAGTTCAAATAATAGGAGACAAAAACCTCTTTGCATCTTTGTAATACAAAAAATGGACTTCGGGAAGAATCCAAACCCCTAACAGCTGAGGCTTTTTTGAACATGGTGATTCATCTCTTCCAGGACACAGTAGTAGCTCTCCATGCTTTATCCAGATATGGAGCTGCTACTTTTGGCAGAACTGGGAAAACTGCTTTGGTGAAAATCCAGTCTTCAGGGACGTTTTCTACAAAATTCCAAGTGGACAACAGTAATCGTCTGTTATTGCAGCAGGTCTCATTACCACACATTCCAGAGGAGTACACCATAAGTGTGTCGGGGGAAGGATGTGTGTACACTCAGGTAAGATTCTTGGGGTAAGTTCAATAGATTTAGAAGTTATGCCCTTCCCCCAGTGGAAACTGTACCTATTCCTACCTGTATGAGTAAAGGACAAATCAGGAGACATGGCATGGTGACAGGTTGAAGGCTCCTCTCATATGGAGATAACTATTTCTGTCCTTTAATTCAACAGACAGCTTTGAAATACAATGTGTTCCTGGAGAAGGAAAAATACGCATTTGCTCTACAAGTGCACACAGTACCTCAGACTTGTGATGATCCCAAAGCCCACAAGAGATTCCAGATCTCACTAGAAGTCAGGTAAGAATCTGCCTCTGCTGCCTAGCTATTAAAACATTAGCTACCTGGAGCCTTTCAGAATGTAGATTTGAAGGTATCTAAACTAAAGCTTTTTACTAAGATTTTATCCGTATGTAAAACATTGTCTTCACCAATGTGGGCAGTGATACATTGGTAAAGTTGTGAGCTCTAATTAGTCAGCCTTCAGGGTAGTACATTCCCACCAGCATGGTTGGAGAGTAAATCATTCCTTTCAGTAATATTTTAAGAAAAGTTCATTTTACTTGTAAAATACTCTCAATCCTTTAAAATTCCATTTTTCTAGAGCAGAAAAACTCACTACCTCTCATAGGTTTTAGGTAGAATATACCTAGTGATTTCTGGTATAAGTACAAAATCTTATGGATTTCAGATGAAAAGAGAAAATGATATTAATAATTTGATTCATAATAGATTAAATAATTAAATGTGTTTCATAAAAGCATGATATATTAGGCAGAATTTGAATGCAGATACAATCTTTTACCTAAAGAAATCTTATAGCCTAGTTATGAAGATAATCTTCACATGCAGAAAAAGATCATTCATCAATCTGACACATGTAAATTATAAAGAGGTGGCATGTCCTAGAGACTTAAAAATTTGTTTTTTAAATTTTATTTAAAAGGAAAAAGAAAAAACAAAACAAAATAAAGCTGTGTAAGGGTACAAGTAATACAGAACAACAACAACAACAACAAAAAAAAACAGTAAGAAATCACCAGTTAATAGATTACACATTATCATCTTAGAGATAGTTGCTCAAGTCACAGTATCAAGACATACAAAGTGAGCATTCAGAGAGACTGCAAACAGTTGTGTTCAATGATCCAACCAAAAACATTAATACGGTCAGCTATGTAACACCCCTAAAAGCACTTGCAGTTGTATCCTTTAGAGCACTTTTTTCCCCTCTCTTTTTTACAACAAAATTTACACATTTTGGGTTTTATTACTCCTTAGTTCTTATTACTTTTTTTTTTGGAAGAGAATAAAGTGAAATATGGCAAAACAAAGCTGTCAGTCAAAACCAAGGATAGACATAGTACATGATTTAAAAACAGAGTATAAGGTTGACTTAAAAATCTTCTCAACTTGCATATAAGAGTTACATTTACCGATATTATTAGGTTACTATACATGGCACGTCTTTTCTTCTTGTTTCTCCTTCACTTCCTCCTCATCCCTTCCCCTTTTCCGTTGGGCCACTGCCCAGTTGCAAGAATTTCATCCTCTTGCCCCTTTCTATCCATTTTTAGAAGTCATCTTCTGTGTACTTGCCTCACTCAAATGAGAGATACCATTTGGTAATTAAGCTTGTGCATCTGGTTTTTTGATCATTATATATTCCAAGTGAATCCATTTTCTTGCAGATATATCAAATTTTCCATTCTTTATAGATGAGTCATATTTCATTATAGACAGATAATATCAACAAGAATGAAAAATGGAACAGAAGAATTGGGGAGGAAAAAGGGAAGAGGAGGCAAGAGGATTATAAAAGACAAAAGAAGCATGCTGTAATATGTACATATAGCCATTCCCCAAATGATTGTAAACTACATGAACTACAACATGAACAACAACAACAACAACAACAATCTGCTTAACATCCTGTGTAGAATTTGTTTGAAAAGTGGGCATTTCCAGGTTTCCCTCTGGAATGTAGTTTATTAGGCCTTAACTGTGTTCAGATGTGTGGATTTGTAGTGGATTCTTTAAGTGTCCTACCATGCAGGGACTTTCCAGAACTATTCCTAATGAATGTGAGGGCTGTTTGTTTTGAAGGGTGGAAAGATCCCTGGGGAACAAGGCAGTAATTAGGAAGTTACTTGAAGATGTCATGATTTATGCTGAAAAGAAGGCAAGGTTTGAAATCTGGTGACGCCTGTTCCCTTTCTTTGTTTTTTCTGTAGTTATACAGGGAGACGTCCAGCCTCTAACATGGCGATTGTTAATGTAAAAATGATATCTGGCTTTAGTCCGCTGAAATCAACAGTGAAAATGGTAAGCAGATGCTAGATGTTTGGTTTTGTGTATCCTCAGCTTAATAATGGCAACCTGTACCAAAGTCATATTTTTGGTCCTAACCTAAGGTAATTTAATTTATGTGATACCAAGTTTAAGTTTAGCATTGTTCTAGGTCCCCATACAAAAAAGAAAAAAAAGAAAGGTTTTGTCTGTATTAATGAGCCTACATTCTATTAATATTAAAAACATAACTGAAACTGTTAACTACAATCTCAGGAAAAGATATACTAAAATGGTTGGCATACACTTTAGAACAATAGTGTGAAATCTAGAGAATAATAGGATTAATCTCTGTGGAGAAAGATCACTTGATAGGTTATATCAGATGAATAACTTTCCGATTTTAGGATACTTGTCTCTTACAACAAAAAAAGTCAAAAATTCTCATTAGTCAAATGAATATTCAGTCTTGCATCTTATTCGATGTGGTCACAATTTTTAATGTGTTTTTATTTTTACTGAATTTCAAATTAATTCAAAAGCATTTAATCCCAGCTCCTTTTAATATAATCATGACTCCCACAGTTCAGTTGTGTCTTTGTACCCCAAGGGCTGCATTTATACAGTAACATCAGTGATTTCTCTCATTTTCTTAAGCTTGAAAGATCTGACCATGTGAGCAGGACAGAAGTGAACAAGAACAATGTCTTGATTTATGTGGATCAGGTGAGTGACTCATCAGCTTTATAACCCAGTGGGTGGTCCTTTTCTGTGGATCTCTTACCCTGGAAAGCCTGTGGTGTGAGATGAGCAGATCTAAACAAAGTTTTGAAGTAGGACCTCCTTTCTGTTCACATTGATGGTATTTTAAAGTCTGTTTTCTAACTATAGGCATCCCTGGGACTTGGGATATTAGAGATGAGAGAGTTGGGGGGAGGCAAGTGGGTTATTGATTTATTTATACTAAAATGGGAATATGAATGTTTCTTGACTTCAAGTAAACATTTTTAAAAATAAATAAACTGAATTACAGCAAGAGGCATTATGGTAACCATTGTGGATAACCTTGTACTCTGTTTTTACATCATGTACTATGTCTATCCTTGGTTTTGACTGACAGCTTTGTTTTGCCATATTTGACTATATTCTCTCCCAGAAAAAAAGTATAAGAACTAAGGAGTAATAAAACCCAAAATGTGTAAATTTTGCTGTAAAAAAGAGAGGGAAAGGGGCTGGGGATTTAGCTCAGCAGCATAAGTGCCTGCCTTGTAAGCAGGCAGTCGTGAGTTGGATCCCTCTTACCGATAAAAAGGAAAAAGACAAAAAAAAAAAAAAAAAAAAAAAAAAAAGAGACAGAGGGGGAAAAAAAGTGCTCTAAAGGATACAACTGCAAGTGTGTTTAGGGGTGTTAAATAGCTGACCATATTACTGTTTTTGATTGGATCATTGAACACAACCGTTTGCAGTCTCACTGTTTGAATGTCCACTTTGTATGCTTTGATACTGTGACTTGAGCAACTATCTCTAAGATGATAATGTGTAATCTATCAACTGGTGATTTCTTACTGTTTTTTTTTTTTTTTTTTTTGTAGTTCTGTATTACTTGTACTGCTTTGTTTGGTTTTGTTTTTTCTCTTTTTTCCTTTTAAATAAAATTTTAAAAAATAAACTGAATTATCTAGAAGCCATATTAAAAATCGCTAATTAAGGATAAGAAATAGCCAGGTGCGGTGGTGCATGCCTGTAACTCCAGTGTTCTGGGTGACTGAGACAAGAGGATCACAAATTATAGTCCAGTCCAGGCAGTTTAGTGACTTAGCAGCTGTCATAAAGTAACTAACAAAAAGACCTGGTGTTGCAGCTCCTCGTGAAGCCTCTAGTTTCAGTCCTCAGTACTACAAAAGACAAGACACAGCAAAACAACACAAGCTAAAACAGGATAAGACGTATTTCCAGGGGCGGATCAGCAGTAATATCAATCCCTGGTTCTGAACCATTACTCTTTCCTTTCTCAGGTTACCAATGAGACACTGAACTTTTCTTTTGCTGTTCTGCAAGACGTTCCTGTAAGAAACCTGAAACCTGCCTTTGTGAAAGTCTATGACTACTATGAAACAGGTGGGCAAGAGAGGACTAAGGACCCCAAATAAACTCAATTCCTCATCAAGGAATTAGAGTAAAGTAAACATTGTATATCCTCCTTTCAACTTATTCCATCATGGATGCCTTATTTCTGCTTCTGTGGCCTACAAAACTACAAATAATAGCCTTCATGGTCTCTAAAGACCAAACAAAGAAAGCAAAATTCAGTTGGAGGATAAACATGGAGGATAACATTCTGATTAGGAAAGAGAAATATATCAGTTTTTTTCAGACTAAGAACTATCAGAAATGTAATGAAAATGAAAGCATAAATATAGAAAAAGGCAGGGGAAAGGATACTTATCTATAGAAATATCTCTTAGGACTCAGCTTGACCACTGTAGAGTGAGCAGGCTTTAATGTTTCTCCAGAGTAAAAGAGCATTATACCAGCAGTTTCAAGAATGGAAATTCCTTGAAATTTCTCATTTCTTTCCTAAGGAGATGACTTCAGCAAACATTCAGTCAATGGTCAGGAATGCAGTCTAACTATGTGGAAGACTCTCCATAAAACCGATTAAAACTCCCATTTTCAACGATCCCATTGTGTCTTTCAGGTGAAGCAGCCTTTGCTGAATACAGCGCCCCATGTAGCACAGGTAAACAACTTGCAGTTCCTGACCTCTGTCTTCACTTTGCTCTCCAAACCAGTCTCCCCAAGTGTAAAGTCATGTACATCTTTTATTAGCTGGTGTTGGACTTTCTAAATCACGTGATAATGCAGAAATGCACATGTGGGGAGCAGAGCACTAACTGTCTGGAAGACTCCTGTAGTTCCCCAATTATATTTTAGGATAGATGTCTGATGGTGTCCATTCTTCATCAGAACCAATTTGGTGCCCTTTAGCAAAATCTGCTGTCTACATTAGAATCATATTCACTCCTTAGCAAACTCCAAATCATTCTGTTTTTCTCTTCTCTCTATAGACACAGAGGAATAAAAATTTTGAGGCTCATCTCTATAAACAGTGGTTTGCTGGAATCCCCCCAAAGACCTTTGAAGAGCACTATTCTACTTCTGCAATATAGATACTCAGAAACTTGGTAAATAAATCTGGAGAGCCTCTGTCGTTGATTCTTTCTTCATTCAATACAGATTTATTCCACGCCAACATGCGGGGCCCAGGGCTTTGCACTATACCTTCTATTTGCAATGAGCAACAACAACAAAATGACACTTTAATTGAGGAGACAGCCTATTGTAGAATTGGGAACAGTTAAAAATAGCATTAATATTTCAGCACCACAGACTGGGCAAAGTAATTTAATGGCAATCTGAAAAAGGTACACTTGCAAAAATCCCCTTTTTTCTGGGCTAGCTAGTGAGAATAAGACTGTAATGCATATCTGGGTGTGATTATGTTTTGAGAAGGAAAGAATGGTATTCAATGCCATGTATAATGACTTCCTAACTAGACAGGAATTTCAGCTCTCTACAAGCAGTGCAAAATTATATATATGTGTGTGTGTGTGTGTGTGTGTGTGTGTGTGTGTAACAACACAATTTTTAAATATTAAAAATAAAAAGAAAAAAACAAAAAATTAACAATAGTACATATATCATAGTATGATTATATGGTATTACATGATATAAAAAAATGATTAGATCCATGCCAGCAGATGGTGGATAATAAGAACTACCTATTAAAAAATATTAAGTTGACCTTTATAGTTTATTTGTGCTAACATATCTTTTTTATTTTGAAGAGAATAAAACCAAATGAGACAAAACAAAATAGAGTCAATCAAAACAAAAGGATCAACATGGTACATGACTTAAAAACAAAATACAAAGTGATCAAAAGTGGTTACCATAATGCTTCGTGTTTTCTTCAAAAGCATTGCCCATATCATCAGACATAATAAAATTGCACAAAACAGTACAGACCAAAACCAAACCAGTGAAACAAAACATTGGAGACATTATAGGACTTCAAAAGGAGATAATAGTCAAACCAGAATAAGTGTCATAGTGAATCTTACTGTCTTCAAAGTAGTTGTCTATACCCTCAAACTTACTATCAAACAAAACAGATTTGAATAAAATCAGTCAAAACAAGATAGTGAAAGTAATACAGGGCTTCAAATCAAGTTAGTAGGAAATCAAAAATGGTTACCATAGTATATCCTACTTCTGTGGAATATCTGTCCATGTCATCATATCTAGTACAAGTAGATAAACTGGAACAGAATAAACCAAACCAAACAGAACAATGAAAACAATGTGGGTTTCAGATCATGATACAAGATTAAAACTGGCCTCTGACTTCCCTTTTTAGATAATTCTTCCCCTTTCACTTTCACAAGGTGCACTGTACATTTTGTATTCCACTAACTCCTTTAGTTTTTAGGTTAGGGAGGCAACCCACTATTCACCTAAGTGATTCTGAACGTTTTTACCCCTGAGCTTGATCTCAAGTTGCATCCATTTACCTACAAGATCCTTAAGGCTGTCTTTCTTTATAGCTGAGTAATTTTTCATTATATAAAAGTGTCATGGCTTTCTATCCAATCTGCAGCTGATGTGTGAGCTACCCCCACTTTTTTCTGGTTTGCTGTCACATAGAGCATTGTTTTCTCATCTTTGACTTTCAGTCTATAAACGCTCTTTCAGGCTAGTTGTGTTTCTTATATAGAGCATATTGATGGATCCTATCTCCTCATCACTATGCATGTGTTTCTTTTTATTGGTGTTTCAAGGTCATCCATATTAGTAATTATGGCTAGCTTTCTCTGCCTCATCTCTGCTATGTCATTTTTCTGCCATTGGTTGTCTGCTTTTCCCCTTCATTCCACACTCTGCCCCATTCAGTGAGACCCTTCTGCAGCTGTTCCTGAAACCATGGTCTTTTTCTTTCTCTCTAGAATGTCCTTAAGTATTTTTTGTAGGGTTGTTTTGGTGGTCATGAATTCCCCCAGTTCCTCTTTGTCATGTAAGCATCTTGTACCTCCATTAATTTTGAGAGATAGTTTTGCAGCTACATCAATCTTGGTTGGAGGTTATTTTCTTTCAGGACTTGAAATACTTCACTCCAGGCTCTTGATTTGATGGTTTGTGTTGAGAAGTCTGTCATGATTTTGATGGGTTTTCCTTTATAGGTGATCAGTTTCTTTTCTCTGACAGCTTTTAATATTCTGTTCATGTGTTGAATTTCTGGATCTTGATTATTATATGTCTGAGTGTAGCTCTGTTTTGGTTATAGCTGGCTGGCATTCTGTATGCCTCACTTATCTGAACATCATTTCCTTTTTCTATGCTTGGGAAGTTTTCTTTAATTATTTCTGTGAATAGCTTTTGTATTTCATTTGTGTTTACTCCTGTTCTTCACTCACATTTTTTATTCTTAAGTTATATATCCTCTTGTAATCTTCTAGCCTTTGTATTGTTACTTCCTGGTTCCTTGTTCTTTTTTAAAAATTTCATTTAAAAGGAAAAAGAGAAAAAACAAAACAAAACAAAACAGTGTAAGGGTACAAGTAATACAGAACTACAAAAAAAAACAGTAAGAAATCACCAGTTAATATATTACATAATATCATCTTAGAGATAGTTTCTTAAGTCACAGGATCAAAGCATTTAAAGTGGACATTCAAACAGTGAGACTGCAAACAATTGTGTTCAGTGATCCAACCAAAAACATTAATATGGTCATCTGTTTAACACCCCTAAACACACTTGCAGTTGTATCCTTTAGAGCACTTTTTTCCCTATCTTTTTTACAACAAAATTTACACATTTTGAGTTTTATTATTCCATAATTCTTATCACTTTTTTTGGAAGAGAATAAAGTTAATTATGGCAAAACAAAGCTGTCAGTCAAAAGCAAGGAGAAACATAGCACATGATGTAAAAGCAGAGTATAAGGTTGTCAACAATGGTTACCATAATGCCTCTTGCTTCCTTAAAAACAATTGTCTATCTCATTAGGAATCATAAAGTTGAACAAAACAGTACAGAACAAGACCAATAAAACCTAAACCTTGTAAACATTACAAAACTTCAAAAGAAGATAATAGTCAAACCAGGATGGGCATCATAGTGAGTCTTATTGCCTTCAAAGTAGTTGCCTATACCCTCAAACTTGATACTACCGTGCAGCATGGAACAGAGTCTAATCAGACAACACAAGATAGTGGGAGTATTGCAGGACTTCAAATCAAGTTAATAGAAAATAAAAAAGTTACTATTATATATCCTGCTAATTTTTAAAAAAAATTTCCCCTTAATTAAAAAACCTTAAAAAATAACTAAGTAATTTTTTTAATGAATAAGGGAGAGATTGAGGTAAAAGAGAATGTAACAACATAACGCAGGTCAAAGGCAAGACAGTTTCAGCAACCTAGTGTTTCACCACCAAATAACCCGACTTAATAGTAGTTACCATAGTGTCTTTTTCCTTGAAATATTTGAATATAATTTCATATACTATAGCATCAAACATATCAAGTCAGTATAAAACCATTCAAGTGGATGAAAGCATTGTAGGATATTTAGAACCAGCCAACAGAAAATGAACAATGGTTTCTATATTATTCTCTTTGCCTATAACAATTTTTGTTTATACTATCACGTATAATAAAATCCAGCAAGATACATCATGATAAAACCAATAGAGACAGAAGAGCCATAGTTTGGTGGGGCTTCAAAACAGGATGATAGTAAATCAGCACTAGCTATTTTGATGACTTGTTTTCTTCAAAATAGCTGTTCATTTCATCATAGGCAATAATATCAAGCATCCCAGAATAAAGCCATTCCAATTAATAAGTGAAAACTTTATAAGGCTTCAAGACCACATAATGGGGAATCATGATTACCACATACTTTTATATATTTGAATCATTTCTTACATTAGGGAAACTATTTGATATTCACATGTGCGAGATTGATTTATTTCACTTATGAGTATGGTCTCAAGCTGCGCCTATTTATTGATAAATATCTCAATATGATTCTTCTTTATAGCTGAGCAGTACTCCATTGTTTAGAAATACCATATCTTTTTTATGCATTCCTCAGTTGATGGACACTTGGGTTGTTTCCAGGATCTGGCGATTACAAATTGTGCTGCTATAAACATAGGTACACATATAACACTGTGGTGTGATGCTTTCAGTTCTTCTGGCAATATGCCTAGAAGTGGAATAGCTGGAAAAAATGGGACTTCCAATCCCAGATTTTTGAGAAATCTCCAGACTGACCTCGCCAAAGTTGCAACAGTCTACACTCCCACAAAGAGTGTAGGAGACTTCCTTTTTCCCCACAGCCTCTCCAGCATTTGTTGTTGTTGTTGGTTTTCTGGATCCTGGCCATTCTTTCAGGAGTGAGATGGAATCTCAGTGTGGTTTTAATTTGCATTTCTCTAATGACCAATGATGACAGAAGTTTTTTCATCTATTTATTTGCCATCTGAGAAGTGCGTATTCATCTAAGATGCCCATTTTTGGATTGCATCTTTGAATTTTGGGGGACTGAGTTTTTTTTAATTCTTTATATGTTTTAGACAAAAGTCCCTTGTGGGAGGGGTAGTTCACTAAGATCTTTTCCCAGTTTGTGGGTATTCTTTTCACTATGCTGGAGATTTCTTTTGACATGCAGAAACTTTTTCGATAAGAGATGGTCCCAGTTATTGATTCTGGGAAGTAATTCCCATGTGGTTTGAGTCCTGTTCATGAATTCTCTACCTACTCCTATGTCTTCAAGGTTTCTACCCAATTTTCTTTCCAATAGATTTAGTATTTCTGTTATAATATTCAGATTTTTGATGCATTTAAATTTTAATAGATTTAGTATTTCTGTTTTAATATTCAGAAATTTTGATGCACTTAAATTTTAATTTACTACATGATGATAGGCATGGGTCTAGCTTTAGTTTTCGGCAAATGCTCCATTTTGTTTTCCAGTTTTTCCAACACCATTTATTAAAGAGACTGTCATTCTTCCAGTGAACCTGCTTGGCTCCTTATCAAAGATAAGGTGGTTGAGTGTGCTTATATTTGTGGCTGTATCTTCTAATCTATTCCACTGATCTTTGGCCCTGTTTGATTCCAGTACCATGTTGATTTTACT